CTGAACATCATTCAGTATCATTAAAATATACTGGAAAGAATAAGCTATGTGTACCCATTTCTCTGCTTTCCGGTTCTTGTAAGGACATGTAGACTTATATTCACAGAATATGTAAACAATAAAACCTTTTTAATTGTGAAAATTACAATTGTTCTCACTATGATTATTGTAAGAAAGTACAATGCTCAAACAAAAACAAAAAGTATGGGACTCATAACAGTTGCAATGTAGGGACGGTTTTGTTTTGTCATGAGAGAATTACATCTCCTTTGGCTTTTGCCCTAACTTGTTTACAAATGTCGAGGGGATATTTAGTGGACCAGGAGTGCTATATACACCACTAACGTGAATGGTCTCTATTTGTTCTGCTTTCAGTAGCACAGAAATAGAAAATTTAACACAGCAAACTACCTCCTCCTAAGTGCCCCATAAATCACTCTAAAACACCATGTAAGATTTTTTACCAAAGCAGTATTCAATCTGAAACTTATGAAATAGCCACAGAGGCCCTCATTACCAATCTGAAATGATTAAAAATATTAAATCTAGCTGGTTCCACAATTACCAGATCACACCCTAAATCTCATTTGTCTCTTCTACCAAACACAACTTTAGAATTACATGAACTTATATTTCTCATTAGAAATCCAGACTACATGTTATAGAAATGCCCTTACAAGAGATCATCTCAATTGGTGCATCAGCTCTTATCCGTATTTTTGCAAGTTTCTATGCATAATAATTTGGGATACTATAAATGTGCCACCATAAATGTTATAGGGGCTACATAGAAGAATACTATGCAAGAATGAAGTGTTATGATGTATATAGTTAACTTTAAAGTTACTTAGTAGATGGAGAGTACCCATAAAAATAGACACATAAGATAGAGACATACAGTTGGGGATATAGCTCAGTGACATAGTTCTTGCCTGGGCAAATATGAGGTACTGAGTTCAATTCCCAGTACTAAAAAAAAAAAAAAAAAAAAAGACATAAACAAATAAGGCACAATGTTAACATTTGTTGAATCTGTTGTGCATAAGGGATATTCACTATATTACACTTTCAAATTTTACATTTAAAAAGTTTAAAGTTTTAAAATATTTTAAACTTTGCTGGGGAGATAGCTCAGTGGCATAAGCATCTGCCTGGCAAGTACAAGGTCCTGAGTTCAATCCTCAGTACAAAAATAAATAAATGAATAAATAAATATAGTTTAAACTTCAATCTTACTCTTCATGGGTTTAGAAGTGGAAGAATGTTTCTTATTTTTAAAATACACACAGTCTGAAAATAAAACATGAACCAACAGTCTTCGCTTCCTAGATATTACTTTTCATATTTACTGGGTGATTGACATTTTCAATTTTCTTCAAAATAGGTACTTATATTTTCCATCTGAATTTATGACTAATTAGTACTCCTAATTAAACTTAAGGAAATGTGAATTCAAGAAAATTACTGGGGGCAGAGGAAGGGGGCTGGTGAGATGGCTCTGCGGTCCTAGTGCCTGCCTGGCAAGTGCAAGGATCTGGGTTTGATCTCCTGGTACCGCATGCAGTGCCCATCCAGAAACCACTGAAACCAGGAGTGGTGGCACATGCCCATAATCCTAGCACTGGGGAGGCTGAGACAGGAGGATCACTATGAGTATTAGCTACATAGTGAGGCCCTGTACTAACTAATTAACTAACTAAATAAATACATAGAAAAAGAAACTTACTCAGGTCTTTAAATATCGTACTTTTCTTTTACTCTACAGTCTCTGGACTTGCCCAGACTCTGTTATTAGTTGTGATCTCCACTCACTATTCTCTTCAATGTAGGAGTAGCCCCTATAATATTTAACACTTCAAAGCTTGTGGGTACTTAATGTGCAAGACAGGCAATTTAGGGGCTGGAGAGATGGCTCAGTGGTCTAAAGCACCTACTTGGAACAAGCTTGCCAAAGCACAGGGACCACGGTTCGATTCCCCCAGCACCACATGCCAGCCAGTCCCGCCCCCTGGTGGGCTGAGCTGGCCACACACACAATAAATAAATGTATAAATAAATAATTAGAAAAATATTAAAAAAAAAAGACAGGCAATTTAATGGGTAAGAGAAAGCTATGAAAATGTGTGCTTTACAGAATATCATGAACTATCATAAGTTCAACTATCACGAACTAGGTTTTTGTTTGGTTTTGCTCAGTTTGAGGGACATGTTACTGAAGCACTACAGATTAAAGAAATGAAGGAAAACTTTTAAATGTAATCAGTGTCATCTCATCCCTCTCTGTGTTTTTTTAAAATAGTCAGTGGTCATAAAAAGCAGCAGAAAAGCACCAGGGTATTTGTATTCTTTTTTTCTTTTTAATGTATTTAGTACCAGGTCTACAGGGTCTCACTACACAGATCCAACTCATAGTGATCCTCCTGTTTTTAGCCTCCCAAGCCCCGGGATTACAGGCACCCTGAGGGTAGGGCCGGCATGGTCCCTGAGCTTTGCCCAAGCAGGCTCTTTAGTCCGCTGAGCTATCTGGCTGGCCCTACACCAGGGTATTTTTTATCTGCCTCTAAAATAACCCAGTTTTCCTCTATACAACTATTGACAATTGCTTACTGAAACTGGATATATATTTTTATTTATTGTTTTTGTTAGATAATTGTTTTTTCTAAGTATATTTTAACTCCAACAACTTTATCATCAGAATAACAAAAAGAGCTGCTTATGAATGTAATTTTGGCTAAAACATCACACCCTCATTTGATCTCTTTATTTAGAATTGGCTTTCCTTTTATGACTTCAAAATGCATAGTATTAATGTGTTTAAATTTGGAAAACATTTAGCAAGTCAAATTGTCTGGGACATTGCAGTGTTAAGTGCATTGTTTGAAGTGCTGCACTTGCAAAGAATTCACTTATTCTCTGGCTTTGTGGAGAAGGAGCCCTAAAAACAGTTGTGTGTGGTGGCTTCACTACCATAGAGAATCAATACCCATCTATTTAATTTGCTAAGACAATGTAAATTAGTAACTTCCAGCCAGATGTGCAATATACACATCAAACAAACTGCAACCTGTTCATTATGAAAATCCTGTCGACACACACGGAGCCACTTGATGACATTTCATCTAAAGCTGTTTCCACATTTGCAGCTATAAAAATTGTTCTAAGAATTTTTATACAAGGAACTGGAGCTGAGGCCCATAAAAGGATAATCAATTTCAGCTTTGCATCTTGTGTGCTTGTGTATAGAGGCTTCTATGTGTTGACTCCTGTTTTCATTCAATGCTACAGAATGTTCAGAAAAAAAATGTTTATGATGCTACTTTTCCTTCTATAAATCATTTATCCCCATTACATCCTTTTAAATCTGATGGGAAGTTGATTGTCTGATTCTGCAGCTCTGAAAAAGTGTATAAATACGGACGCAGTGAACAGAAGAAACAAAGAACACTTAACCAATGGAAAAAATGAGGATTTCAAAATGACTCCAAACATAAATTAAGTTTACCCGTTGGGAGGCCTCACAGGCATTCAGATCATTTATAGGGGTCTGTGAGACTCTATACCTGCTGGTTGATAAAGAATGATTACTAAGCACAGTCATCCACCAGAGATTGTGTGTGTGTGTGTGTGTGTGTGTGTGTGTGTGTGATGCTGGCGACGTCTCAGACACACAAGGCACCCTCTTAAAGAACGGCCGTTTCCTTTCCATGGTGAGGAGACGTAATTTTTCATACTTTAATAGATCTGCTTCACAGAGTAGCTTACTTTATGAGTTATGCTTTGCCATTTTCTCTTAGGTTGATTTTAGTACTATGAAAACTGAATTCCTAAAATAGATTTTCATGCTACCAAAAATAATGGCATGCTCTCTGCTCTCTGTGAAAATACACAAACTTTTTGCTATTACAAAAATGTAATCATTTTTATTTGCAACATTATTTACTAAAATGGGAGTTATTAAAGAATTTTTCTTAATTAATGTGCAGTTGTTCTTAAATACTGGATTCTCACCTAACCAAATTCATTTGTCCAAGTCTATTTGGATTAAATTTTCTTATTAAACAGGGCAGAGTAAACAATTTTATTGACGAGCATATTTTGAACTACTATAGTTTTAATTTGGAAATTTATTGTGAAATGAAACCAATTGTCATCCTCCGTGTATGATCGGCTTACAAAGAGCACCCCTTAGCCAATATCCTAATGTCAAGACAGCGCTTCTTCCAAGAAACAACTAATCCCTGGGGTCTTCTAATGTAAAAAACTTAAAAAGATAAATAAATTAAGCTCTTCACGCACAGAAATTCATCAAAGCTTCAACCCTAAGTGACACGACGTGCTTTCCTCACGATCGCCACAGGCCACGTGAACGGGTCTGTGGAACCAGGGCCACTGCCACCGAGGATCCGGGTACAGAAGGAGGGGGTCTAGGGGATGGGGTCCCCGGAGCCCGCGGGACCTGCAGCGTTAGCCCGGGACCCTGGCTTTCCGGGGTTGAAACCGGGTCATCCCGGTCACTTAAGGTCCCTCCTACTCCCTGGTTCAAGGAAAGAATCTCAGAGGCCTCGCCACCGCCGGTCGCAGACTGTTTAAAATTAAGAACTTCCAACCCCAGAGCTCAAAAAGTGAAACAGATGTCCTGCTTGCTAGCCCTGAATGGCTCCATCCGCCCGATCCTCTCCTCTATCCTTTATTCTTTCTGCCTGATTAAATTTTATTTAAGGCAGAATTCTCTTGAAAGAGAGAGAGAGAGAGAGAGAGAGAGAGAGAGAGAGAGAGAGAGAGAGAGAGAGAGAAACAGCTAATCTGGGCTGCGGGCGAGAAAGCTCCTAAATCCTTCCCTAGAAAATAAGGAAGGAGCCGTCTTCACTGGCAAGAGACTCCGGCGCTGGTCGCCTCCTCCTCTGGTCTGCGCTGGGACTCTGCAAACCGCAGCCCCCGCCCCCGTCCCCGCCCCATCCCCGCCCCCACCCCCGCACACACCCCGCGCCTGCGGCACTCACGTGAGGACGTAGTTGACGCTAACGATGCAGTGCGGCCGGGAGGAGCGGCTGTTGTGTACGATGGTCGCGTAGCTCTGTACCCACACCCAGCCACCATGCTTCGCCAGAAACCTGTAGTACTTGGTGGTCACCTGGCCCTTCACCAGCACTGTGGGGGACAGGGACAGAGGGCTGTAACTCGGCCTGACCCCTCGTGCCCTGCTGGCTGTACTGCCGCTGGAGAGGACAGCAGCAAAGCCCCACGCAGCGACGGTCCTGTAAAATTTCCTCAACCTGAGTTCCCCGCTCTGGGACTGGTCTTCAGAATTAGCAACTGGGGGACACTTCCAATGGAGGATTACGCCCAGATTGCTTTTATAACTACGAAAGAAGTGCTTTGTTCCCAGTCTCCAGAGATTAAAGCTCAAAGCAAAGCCCTGTAAATGCCCCCCCCCCAAAAAAAAAGTGAAAACCCGAGGTGAGGTTGAGGCCGGCCTGTAATCCTAACTACTCGCGAGGCTGAGGCAGGAAGATCACAAATTCAAAATCAGCCTGGGCAATTGAGAAAAAATGGTGTCGCCTTTCTTTTAAAACAAAAGGGGGGGCGGAGGAGCCTGGAAGGCCGGGGGTAGATGAGCTCACCTGTAATCCCAGAACTCTAGAACTCTGGAGCGTGAGGCAGGAAGACGGTTGCAAGTTTGCGACAAACGTAAACTACAAAGTGAGCTCACAGCCAGCCTGAACTGCACAGTGAGACTCTGTCTCAAAAAGATCAAAAAGTAACTAACTAAATAAATATTTTAAAAGGGCTGGGGAGGTAGCCCAGTGGTAGAGCTACGCTCCTGCGTTAGACCTGTGTACAGGGGAAAAGGAGAAATAGCCAGGGAGGTTCGGAGCTTGGAAAGCAGGGAAGCGCATTAATACCAGAATAAAACTCCTGGGGAAAATTCGCTCAGCAACGCCCCTTGAACCAATGTCAGCTGTCCACACAGCGTCCAGGTAGGTGCAGCCCCTCTCTGGCCTTGAGGACCACCACTGCAGGCCCTGAGAGCTCCCACCCGCGTGTTTGCGTGGACTGCAGCGCTCCCCCCCCCCCCCGCACGCTCGAAGGCTGCTAGGTGCAGGGTGCAGGGCAGGGTGGGGACTTACGCAGGTGGTGCGCGCAGCGCAGGTGGAAGGTGTCGCAGCCGTGCACATGGTGGTACAGGGTCTTCTCGATCAGGTCCTGAGGTTCATAACCCGTGAGCTCCGCCACCCTGCGGAAAGCAATCCCCGCTCTCAGATTGAGTGCTGGGGGTGTTGCTGCCTCCCCACGGCCTTTCCGGACCTATGTGCCCACCCTGAGATGGACTTGGTCAGCAGCCTAACCTGCCTGCCGCTCCTCGGTTGTGGAGACCTCCCCTGCGCAGCAGGACGGCCCTGGGGCTGCACCCACCTGGAATCCAGGAAGATGAGTTTCATGTCAAGGCTGGCGCGGAACATGAACATGTTACTGTGCAGCTTGATCTCAGTGACCGCGCTAGGAGGCAGCGAATGGCCCACGGCCACCAGGCCCACGTTCTGGTAGCAGCCATCGAAGGGAGACATGTCCAGGCTGTACTGGCGGATCTTCAGGTAGCCGCTGCAGTGAATGACCTGGAAGGGAGTGGGAGGGGGCGTGAGCTGATGTCGAGGTCAGGGCCTCAAAAGGATGCAAAAGGATTGAAACCTGTTGAGACCCTAATGGGCCGGGCACACGTGGATGCCTCGCTGTTCTACTCAATTGTATCAAGAAAGCACTCCACACAATGACCTCACCTGGGAGCTTCAAAATGACACAGGTGCATGAGCCCCACAAACCCCATCTGATTCTGGCATCTAATTCAGGTCTCTGCAACCTGCTTTTTAATGACATTCAGTCACATTCACCTTGGGAGCTACAGCTTCCAGCTAAAGATCAGGTTCTTAGACTTTAAGGATTCAAACTCTGACGTGGGACTAAGTGGGAATCAATCAGCTGCCTGCCATTCCAGAGACCTGGGGTCCACCTCCAAGCGTCTCTAGCATCCAGAGCCAGTCAGACTTCCTTTGTTAGTGTGGTCCCCCGCCCTGGGGCTCCAGGGAACTAGTGGAAGTCCTGGCCCTGTGCATTTTGATGGGTGCGTCCCACGCACTGGAGGCCCAGAGTGCAGGAGTCACTAAGTGCAGACTCCTGGTATACATAGAGGGGCAGGAGGCAGCGGTCTTCCCGCTCTTCACGCACCTTGTAGCCACCGCAGGTGAGACCAGCATTCCGCTTCGCCAAAACGCACTTCATCCTCAGGAAGAAAGAGCGCTCTATCTCGTACTCTGGGAGAGGACAAAAGGCTCAAGGCGACAGATAGACACAGGCCTGGGTCCCAGCTAAGACAAGGGGGAGACACAAGCTGACTCCCACAGGCCCAAGTGTCGTGGAAAGCACATGCCTGCCTTACCCTGTACAAAGTGAGAGTGGTAGGGCTGGTGGGCGGTGAGCACCGCTGTCATCTCGTCGTGGTCTGCTGGGTGAATGTACTCATAAATGCTGTTTCCAGTCAGCTCTACCTGTAAGGAAGAGGGCATCGCTGTTTCTGTGTTAGAAGCCCCAGGAAAAGTCAAAAGCTGGAGCCAGGGGATCCTGGAGGTCCATGAAACCAGCCAACAGCCTGGAATTGGCCCTGAGCTCTAACTCCATGTCTACCACGTTCTAATAACTTTGTGCTTATCATCTAAATCTCAGCTTCCTTGTCTGCAAATTAATAATAATAGTGGTAGCAAAGACAACGATCGTAGGAGTAGTAGCTCCCCGTGCATTGTGGTAGTAAAAAGATCATGAAATAAGTATGTAACCTCCTCCCACAGTGTCTGGCTTATGATAAGAACTAAAAAAAGTAAGGCTTGCATGGGCCCAGGGTAGAAGCTAATGGATAAAGAAGCTCAGAAATGGGGGAGATCTAACTATTTAAAGAATCCTCCTGCTAACAAAGAGGTTACCAGCCCTAGAAATGCAGATCTAAAGAATCGTGGAAACACCACACACAAACTACTGCTTCCAGCTCTGGTTGTAAACACTGCAGGCTGAAGTGTGGACCACTCACCTACCTGAGAAAGACCCAGGTGAACTGAGGCTGTCTCTGAGATGTACATGATCTTCCCATCTGGGGCCACCACAAAGATGAAGCCATCCAACGTCTGGGGAAGCAGAAATAGAGTAAATGGAGAGGCCTCTGGGCCATCTGGAGAAATGGGGGGAGGGAGGACAGAAATTAGGAACATTTGCCAGAAGAGCAGAAAGATGGAGTGGAGAGAATCTGTCAGGAGACAGGACACCAGACCAGCCACAACAGCCCCTCACCCACAACCCCTGGCTGTTCATACCAAATTTGTAGGTGTGGGGGCATATAGCACAGTGGGACCTATCCAGAGGTATGTGGTAGACAAAGGTAATGCCCTATAATACTCAGGATCCACTGACATGGGCAAAGACACATTGATCACAGACATACATACAAGTCCAAAGGAAAACAGTCACAGTCATGGATAAGAGATGGGTTAGATCCTTGCAAAAGATGATGATCAAAAGAACCAGAAGGTTTCCCTGTCACTCTTGAAGAGCAGTGGTGTTTATGATCTATAATGAAAAGACCAGTGGCGGGGCGCAGGAGATGCAGAGTAGGAAGCACTGGTCCACAGGGAAGGCAAGGAAAGCTGAATTTTATAGACAGCAGGAAGCTGGCCAGTGTTTCTGGAGAGAGTCTGGGGCAGGGAAATTAGAAGATGAGAGGCCGTATGAGCAGCTAGTCCACAGAGTGGTAGCACTGTACGTATGCTTAAGTATAAGTACACTGAAGCATCAATCTGACAGTCTCTGTGGAGAAAACTCAGACTTCCCCTGCCACACCCCCTTTATCTGTGACTGAGCCCTCACAATCTAGGGGTGGAAACCTAGGAAAAATCACATTCTTCTCTCAGGAGCTGAAAGTCCCAGTGGGGAAAAGAGCTTTAAGATAACTCTGAATGACCACATGGCTGATTAAAGACTGGTGAGCACGCAGAAGACCTAGAAGCTGAGCAATCAAGAGGCCAAGGCGATCATCCAAGAGGCCATGAAGCAGATGATTTAAGCAGGGATTTGGAGAGGAATCTTGGAAAGAAGGCAGAAAGAGCACCATAGTGTGTGGCAAAGCTTGCGATGGGGGCTGGAAGAATGCTGGGCCTGGTATATTCTGAAGTGATGAGTTTGTTGTACCAGATGAGATGGAGGAAGTACAGTTACTCTGCTTTTTGGAGTTTGGAGTGTCCGTCAAGTAATCTAGACTTGCTGTAGACATAGGGGTGCTAACATAGGCTTCCAAGCATGAACATACATGATGAAGTGTATTTTTGTTGTCATTCTTATTCCTGACAACGTATAGATGGTGATTCTTAGATGGAAGCAATGGAGATGAGATCAGAACAGATAACTGCAATAAACATAGCCAACCCTGCAAGGGGGTGGGCTCAAAGAGAATGGTGAAGAGAGACAGTCAAAGCTTGTGCTGGCTATAGACTCCATGCAAATTTGTGCCAGGGAAATTTAGATTGACTTCCAGATTACAGAAAGGATATAGAACTCATTCATCAAGATTAAACATTCCAAAACAAAGTGAAATTTTGTATGATAGAAGTCTAGGCACAGGAGATAGTGTAGTCTTGTCTTCGAGAGGCTAAACTTGATGCATGCACATCTCCATTTAGATGCATCCCTTGGCCCATAGGACATAAAGGCCTGGAGCTCAAATGAGGACCTGTGGCAGAGACACCAGCTAGAGTCACATGGAGAAAAGACTTGATGTGGGGCATTGGCTGAAGATTGCCCTTTTCTCTTGGAGCTGAGAAAGGATGACTTAGAACACTCTGAAAATTCTATCATCTGCAGAACAACCAGGGGTGGAAACAGCAAGGAATGAAGGGAATGGGGGAGAACATGGAAACAGTGTTGTCCTAGAAAGAAAAGAGGAGACTGTTCAGTCATCAGGCTTGCCTCCTCCAGGTCTTTGCCAAAATGTTACCTGGAGGGCCTGGGATATAGCTCAGCAGCATAAGTGCCTGCCTGGCAAGCACAAGGTCCTGAGTTCAATTCCCCGTACCAAAAACAAACAAACAAAAATGTTACCTGAGTGGGCTCTCACCAAACATTCCCCACTTTAAATGAGAACTAAAACAGAGCTCTCTTCTTTCCCCTTCTTCTTTCCAGAAGCACCTATGCCACTTAGTACACTATATAGTGTGCCTGTGTGGATTTGTAAGCTAGCTGTCTTTAGAATGTATACTCTATGAGGGCAAGGCTTTGAGTCCTGTATTCATGGGATGCACAAGTTCAGGTGGGATACAAGATGAGCATCTCACTCTTCGTATCAGAATGTGCAAGGCATGATGAGTGGAAGAGATGCTAGACTGTAGAGATGTGGGAGTGTGTGGGAAGGAAGGAAGCTACTAGAACAGCATGTGTAACTCAGTCCTCCCAGAAGTTTAGGATGAGGAAGAGCAAAGAGATTGGGCAAGAGCTGCAAGGTGTAAAAGACTGGGCTATGTTCTCTCACTTATATTCTGGGAGAAATCAGTTGGGAATATGGAGAAAATTGGGAAAGGTGATCCTGGGACAGGATAGAAGATGTTTCAGTAAAAAGAATTACAGAACCTTTCTAGATAAATTCACAGATGTCAGATCAGTGAGGGAATTTTCTCCTAAGCCCTCTCTTTGTTTTGTGAAACTAATATCTAAAAGGGAGAAGAGAATGGGTAGCAGTGCAATGTGAAAGCTGTTGGGATTCTGCAAACAGATGTGGCTTCTTAGGCCCCAGGCCCCACCAGAGGAGCTGCCAGTGGACTTGAATAATAATAAAGAGGGTGTGGGGGCAGGGGACAAGTGTCAAAGCTAAAAATGCCAAGGGGGTTATTATTTAAAATATTTGTTTTGTGATTTAAGTCTGCAACTGGCAATTTAAAACAGTGTGCACTGCAAACAAGAAGGTAATGGGCACCTCGCAGTGGTTAAACTCATTACCTGGGGGTGTGTTTGTGCCTGCCTGAGGGTTTGTACAGGACCTGAGCAGGCCTGAGACTAGGCTCTAAGGAATTGGGGCTGGGGGGGCCTGGGAACAACAGGGAGGAGATGAAATGAGTTGTAGACACAGCTGGATCTGGAATGTGTAGGCTTAAAATACTGATGGGTATTTCCACCACATTCCAGTGATTTCCTTTGCAAATTTCCTCCAGAACCTTCATGGTTCTGAAGCTGGCCCACCCTCCTAGGCCTGGCCCCAAGCATTCCAGGTTTCTGTGTCAAAAGGTGACAAAAGCATCCTCTCCCTTTGGCCAAGAGTCCTGGAGGGGCCTTGTTGGGCTACTTTCTAAACCCAAAGTCTTTAATTATTCCTTTACCTCCCCCTCAGCCTCAAAAAAAAAAAAAAAAAAAAAAAAAACACCTCCATTTGTCCTTGCACACACAACTAAGAGAAGAAATTTTACCTTTGAAAGACTTGTTGGGCTGAGAGAGCCCTATCTAGGTTAGAGCCTATTTCATTTTATTTTATTTATTTATTTATACTAAAAGCCCAGCAGAACAGTAGGCTTGAAGCACACATGGCACCAGGAGACCTGTGCCTGTACCTGGAGGAGATGGGAGCCCAATTCACGGCCAACATTGTCCAGGGGACTTGTGCGACTCGAGTGGCCCCATGCCTCCCCCAGCCCTGTGGAAACAGAAAAACAAAGACAACCTTTAGGGGGAGAATGCATTTGGAAACTTGTGACTTGTCAGAGTTCATGGTTTGTTATATACGGTCTCAAGAGAAAGCACCACTGAACACCATCCTTAGTGTCAGTCCCTCTCTGCTCCCTAACCTTCACAGTGAGCTAGCATGGGGCATATGAACTGGTAAATTTTGGCGTTCTTCCTGTTGACTTCCAAGTAGAAATCAGACTTGCTCCACTTGATCAGACTCAGTTCATGGGAAAGAAGGGGGTCTTCCTGCACAGGCCAAGCGGGACCTCAAATGGCCTCTGCCTTGGACGAACCTGAGACTACACTACACCTAGATATAACTTCTGCAGTTCACTGGTGTTTGCAAGGGTGAGGAACATCTGATTTCTTAGTCAAAAATCTTAATGTTGTTTTTCATCCTTATCAAGAACTGAACAACACCTCCATACAGAGAAAGCTGTTGTGCCCTCCACCCTGCTCCCAAAAAAATGGGGGATAATGGGCCAAAGTCATCTGGTCCCTGATGACCTTTCTGATTGGCTGCAGGGCTGTAGTCATTCTCCTCATTTGCCTTTGACTTTAATCCTCTATGAAAAACCAAAAACTCATTTGTTTACAGGAGATGCCCAGCCTCTGCTTACCGGCTTCCCTGGAATTCTCCTCTTCCGTTGCCCCTCCAAAGACCCATGTTACACACCCCTCACCCACCCCACCTCTCCACAAGGAAAAAGAAGGCTTTCCCTCAAGAAAAAGTGTGCTTTTCTGCAGTTGGTTACTTTGAGGTGCTAGCAACCTTCTAACAATATTTTCCTTCTCCCTGGACATAAACCATTATTCAGTTTCTCTACTTCCCAGGTACCATCTTCTATTAACACACACAGCTCCTTCTCTCCTTGATGGTATCACATTTCGGTCTTTTGAGGCTTTACCACAAACCTCAGCACCATTCTGGAGCTGCCTAAAATATGAAGCACTCAAGAGTCATCTCTCATCTTAAAAAAAAAAAAAATAGCATAATCTGCTATATTACCTGTGTGCAGGAAGAATTTTCTTAAAAGCAGAAAAATGTTGTGCAGACCTATTGTAAACTATTTATCATTTAACACTGGAGCTGCTGAAATTATTTCACTGAATAAATGCTTTTATTCTTAGAACCACTGAGCAAGGTTGAACTGCCTTCTTTTTTCTTTTTTTTAAAGATGATCCACTTGGGTGGGAGCCAGTGTATGGTAAAGCACACAGTGACAAACACTCCCTTGTATTACGGGCCTGAAAGATCTTTCACAGTAAAACATGGAGTTAGACTTTTTAAAGGTGCTGGCCAGGAGCTGCTTCCTAAGCGAGGATAAAAGCCCTGGCTATGAGTAACGGGAGCGCCCTTGCTTGAGACCCAATAGGGTCTTCCTGGGTGTTTGCACATCTAAATAAATCTAACGATTTCCCCACCGCTCTGCAAACACGGATGCTCCCGCCCGTGACTGGACTCCCCTCCCTCCCTCGCACAGATTGACCCCTCCTGACTCCCTCTCCGCCCCGCTACCCTCCCCAAGTGATTCCACTGCCCTAGTCCCTGCCGTCCTCCGAACCATTCCTGTAGGGCACGCGTCGCGGTCACCTCTTTGCTCCTCCGGATCCAGCCAGCCTATCCTTGTTTTCTGGCACCTGTACGTTTCTTGGTACCAGCTCAAAGGTACCACCCAGAAGGGGGAGGGGGGAGTTGGCTGCGGAGCCTACACCAGAGAAAAGGCTAAAGACACTGCTGGGGGCGACCAGCGCCAAGGTGGCCCGGCCCTAGGGCGCCCTTGACGCCTGAGGAGCCCTGAAACCCCAAAGGCTGAGGCGCTCAGACAGCATTCCCACTCCTCCCGAGGCGCCAGAAGTGTGCAGAGGCCCCCGAAGAGTGCGAAACCTGCGCTGGGAACAACGAATACCTTTAAATTTGTTGAGGCTCTCCCTCAGTGACCTCCCTCCAGATAGAAATGGTGTGAAAGGCCCAGCGCCGCCGTGCGGGACGTGGGGGTGGGAGACGTGTCCCGAACTCGCCGCGGCGCCGCCCTCACCGTCGAGGGGTGGTGGCCTCAATGGTATGCGCCCCGGGGGAAAACAAGACTTCCCCAGCAGGTTAATCAACAGCCAGTGAGGGTGCAGGTTAACAAGGGCCTGCCTCGCCCTCCCCTGCACCCTCGCGGACACACACCTTTTAAGAGTTCTTTTGTTTTTACAAACAAAGGCTCTGCTTTCCGTCCCTGTTCCCCGAGGAAACATCGCAGGGTTGGGTCTGGGTTAACAGAGGCACTGGCTACCTTGTCTACCTGTCAGCTGCTCCCGAGGCAGTGCCAGGCCCTTCGGGGTGCGGAGGACACCGCCACAAGTCAGATCCCAGTCACCCCTTCTCAAACGTCTCCTAGTGACCCCTTGCCTGCTGCCTTCGGTAACGCGCTCTGGCACCCAATTTCATTTGGCGAGGGGGTAAGCTGAGATTTCGTTTCTGCACTTGACCTACCGCAGAAAATTCGCAAATCCTTTGATTGTCTGTTTAAAATGAGGAGGAAACCGGCTCCCTTTGCGGCGGGATTACAGTGGGAACAAGATCTAAAGATTCTCTTGTAATTCGGTGAGGCCGAGGGAATAGGGTTTTGCAAAGGAGAAAAGGAGCTCTGCGAGGGAGGCGATAACTAAATCGGGTTTTAGACAAAAGGATTTTCCCCAGCTAAAGTGGCCGAAGACAAAGGAAAACATAATCTATTTTGGAAGATTTCCAAGATATGCCACATTAACCTTGGCAGATAAATTTTGCTTTTCTCCCCCGCTTTCCCTTCAAGTCTGGTTTATCATATTTACATAAGTAGCATTACAAGGGATGTATCTATTATGGATCTAAAGGGCTAGCTCACATTTCACGGGAAAACCCAGTCAAGTTTCACTGTTGCTTTACCCTGGGTACGCGGTTGAGCCATTTCCATTTAAATGCCCCCTGACCCAAGGATTACCTCAATGGACTGACTGCACGGGTTTTGTAATTTCCTGAAAATGAGATTTCGATTTATAAAACAAGAAACCAATTAGTAACCAAATGAGGCGAAGTAGATCCACTAAAATTGACCTAATCCCACAGGCACCATTTAGGCCCGTTCTTGGCGAATGAATGATGAGCCCCCGTCTAGCGTGAGCTCAAAGCATCATCCAGCTGTGTTATTGCAAGCAGCAAAAATAAATTGATCGAGCTTTTCCTTCCAAATGAATTTCATACCCTTGACAACATATAGATTACAGACCAGGCATCCTCACCTCCTTGACTCAGTCAGGAAGAGGAGAAACAGAACAGCTTTTTCTGCTGTTTCGTTTTGGTGTTCTGGTTAATATATAAACACAATCTTCCCATGGAAATTGTTTCCTTCTTGTAGCCCTTCCCAGGGACTGTTACCTCCCGGTAGATGATGTACACCTTTTAGGCAAAGGGGTAAGGCAGAACGCTGGATAACGTGTTCACAATCACCATCACAACCCGGGGACTGAGGAAGAAAAGACCTAAGAGGCTGAACTTCTCCAGTGCCGCAGCAGCTCCTCCCGGCCACCGGGGTCTCTCCTGGAGCAAGGGTACGGGCTGTGCGGGAAGAGGTTGGCTCGGAAGTAATCCCACAGACCCCAAACTCCTTAAACTGCAGAGCCTGCTCTTCTTCGCTGAAGCACAATCCAACATTCCTCTGACGGGGTACAGAGCAGCCTTGGTGTTTCCGCAGCCCATCTGCGAGACTGAGTACTCTGGGAAAGAGAGGGACCCAGCATGGGCCCTCCCAGTGGGACGGAGCGCCTGGAGCAGTTTCGGAGCAGAGGCCTTTCAAGCACCGGGGCAAGGCGTACCTGCTCTCATTTACAGTACTTCGGTTGCCTCCGGCCGAGGGCTAATGTGGCAAGGCTCCCACGGGCGTCGGCGACTGTGTGCCTACCCTACAGTGTACCCTCCCCTCCCCTGTGTGCCGCGGAGGGGTCAGAGACCTCACCCCACCCAGGGAACGCGCTGTTAGAGTAAATCGTGCAGTCGCCGCTCTGGGCCCTTCCTCTATCCTTAAAGGGCTCTGTCTGCCACCCCGACCCTCCCCCCAACACACACACCGCTGAGGCTTCCAGCCCAGAACCAAGCGTGCCAGCCAAACTACCCCAACCCGAGCGTGCTGCTAATAAATGAAATCTCAGACAACAAAGGAGCGCCAGGTTCAGCCAGGTCCAGATTACAGCGGAGGACAGTTGTAATAAGGCAATGTGCGGCACTGTGGACAAGTGTCAACGACTTTTCCCACGACACTGAGCCTAGGAGGTGGCAGGGGCATGGCGAAGCCACCTCCCCATAGTCTTAGTAAGGCACAGTCGTAAGGGCAGGAGGATCCTTCTTGGGTTCCACTTGGCCTGGGAATCCGGAGGACCGCACCAAACTCGCCCTTTGAACACTGCGTTATGGAACCAGAGTCCTCTGGCAGGGCCCGGAGGACTGAGAAGGGTGGTGGGCGCACACCCACACCCGAAGGGGTGGCGCCCCAATCTCCAAAGGGAGACGTCCGGGAGTCCCTGCCCGCTTAGGGACAGAGTAGATTGTGTGGAGCTGTGGCCAGGAGACAAGAGACGCAGGACGCGGAGCAACGGGCCGCGGGCTTTGGTCCCTGGCGGAGGCGGGGTGGAGGGCTCTCATAGATAAATGTCACGGTCTAGTCTGCCCAGAGCCGCGAAGGACAAGGACTTGATGGTAGAGCCGCCCGCTGTGTGCAGTGCGCTACCCGCTTCGGGAACACACTCCACCGCAGACCGCGTGTCCTATTCGCTCAGGAGAAAGAAACAGCAGTACCTCCCCTAAGTAATTGGGATTTCCTTTCCTCGCACAAAATTTACAAGACCTCTAGGTCCATTCCGCGTTGTTGAAGACTAGACCTGAGAAATACCTGCGCCAACAGAGAAATGCGGCAAAAGTGCCTAGGCTTGAGTCCTGTGAACCCGTTTGTCTGTAAAAGTTTGAAGCTACCAACATTCCCAGAACTGAGGAACAACTCGCGGGAAAGCAGCCGCGTCCTCTGTAAATGTAGCTGGGAGATAGCTTCAGGTGGATAAGTGTGTCCTGCTTTGAAGGCACCGTACGGTAACTATGCATGGGACAGGTATTCTGTTGCTTTTTGTTATTTTTTATTAGTCGTCCTACTCTTTAAAGTATGAAGTTATTTTTAAATTGAATCTACAATTTCTATCACATAAATCTGCGTTGGAAATACTCTGCACAGAGTTTAGTTCTGCACTCCACATTTTAAGTCAACACCAAAACTGGAATTAAACAGAGGAAAGAAGCGTGAAGCATAAACTGTAGTTAAAGACTTTTAAATGAGAAAAACTTCTGTAAAAAAATAAACATGGAAACCTAATACTCAATCATTTCTCTGAGCAGCAAGAAAAACAGCCTTAAATCACCCATACACGTGGGAAATGGGACCTCCTCTTTTTCAATTCTCTGCCTTACACAGATATATATATGATGGATTCCAATCTTGAGGTGAATGTTCTAGAAAGGATCTGTGAAGGTTTAAGTGCCTTTGACCTTTGTAAGGTTTCTTTTTTGCCTGAGCAGCTAGCAAGTTCAATATTTTGATTGATTTTTAAAAGAAATTTTGACAATGATATGATAGTAGAGTGATGTTACTGGGATTCTGAATAGCAATGAATTTAAAAACCATGTGTGATTCTTGATTTTATCCTACACACCACTCTCACCAGCCAAAATTGCATTAGTGCTGAATAATGGGCATGCATTCTTTTTAGCTAAATTTGTCTCTTTTTGAATCCATAGCCGGTCCAGCCATCTTTTTTACCTGTCTCCTCCTGGGTTTCATAGCACAAAGACTTATACATTTCTAGAGCCCTCAATTTTTCCCTTGCAAGCTATTTGAGAAAAGAATAACGTATCAGTCAGGAGCTGTACACTTGTAGTGATTTCACAGTAATCGTTCCTGACTTTTTTCTTTTTCTATCAATCACCCATCAGGGCTTATTCTTAACTATTTCCGGTACCCATACTTCACTGCTGCAGCCTCTCTCCAACTCCTGAGCAGTTCAATACTGTCTACTCAGGTAAACTATGGAAAGAAAAGTTGAAACAAGTCCCAAACAAAGGCCATTAGACACTAGAGGGGAAGAAATGTATTCACTGTATTTCGCAAGTGAAGGTGGAAGAGGAATCACCCACCACGTTTTCATGATTTCTTCCTTTTTTCAAGTGTAAGTACGCAAGCATTTTTGTTTTCTCATTTAATTGACAGGCTTTACACTTTACAGGATAGTATAGATAAAATGTGAAACAAACATAAACTGAACTTGTACATTGTGGTACCTATAGTTATGTCACCAGACATATAATTATTTCAGTGTAACTTGCAAAATCTGTGTTACATGAAGAGGTTGCTTAACAAAATAAAAGTTATTCTTAAGACAATATTATGAAGGATCTGCTGTGCACTAGGATTATTTTAAGATAGATGTAAAGAAGAACTTTATCTTCAAATTCTACTTAAGTTGTACACAAAATCACCGTCATACCAAATACTCAGTTTCCTCACCTGCCTTGGATCCTTTATCACCTAAGGGATGCCTAGATTCAGTGCACAGCCCCAATTTGGCACCCCCTGCAGGCTGTGCCCCGTTCGGGGCTTGTTGCTGTTTAACTCCTGGGAGTGTTCCTTTGAAAACTCTTGTGTATTGTTTTTGTTTCTTATTGTATTTTTCTTTACTATTTTAAAGCACTGTGTTTGTGCTGAGGGTTTCTGAAAAGTGTATATTCTTAAAATTAAAACCTCATTCTATGATCCAGCTGTTCAAGGGACCCTGTCTGTCTCATGGGGTGGGGGCTGTGGGTGAGTTATGAGCTCAACAGTAGCTGGAGAAATAAAAGGCTTGGCCCACAGTTCACACATCCTCCTCTCTCCTCCCCCAAAACTCACTCACCCACTAAGGACCGGAGAGGTGGAAGGGGCCCAGGGCTCGCGAGAGCAGCCTGGCCATTAGGGGACTTCCAGCAGTAGTCTGGATGGAGCTTTCTTTAAAAATAACTAGAAGTTGCCTCTAAAAGTCCCAAACTGGCTATGAGTTTGCTTTTCGTTTCTATTTATTTAGCATGCGATTTCTAATTTGTGAGCTTGGCCCTTAGACAGGAAAGCTTGCTCTCCCAACAACAACATCCAGGTCCTCTCAAGACCACGCCTGCTCTGGGTCAGCATGAAATAGACTAGCTTCCCAGCCTGGCGACTCCCCGGGCTCTGGGGTCCCGCGTGGTGCCCGCCCTGGAGCACCGACCCGCTATTCTTCTCCTCCTGCGATTACTAGCAGCCTCACAAGCGGCACCATATGCCGCTCCTGATCAAACAGCGAGCAACATCGGCACCGATAATTGACGAGACCCGCTAGAAATCACGCAGCAAGGCAGCCCACTGAGACCGCAGGGGCTGACAAATCACTGCTAATAATCCTGTTAGGAACAGCGCGGCCAGCGGGGTTCGCAATAGCTTTATTTTTATAAAGTAGGCGTTGACAGTATAAAACACAACGAGATCTCTTTTTTAAACAGAAGGCAGAGTAGCATAATGGTAATTTTCCCGGAAGCGATTCTTAGCACAATTTGGATAGAGAATATGGGTTTTAAATACACAGATCCTCCCTCTTTTTCTTTTTAAAAACTTTTCGGGTATTTTCATGCTTTGTTTTTTCTCCTCCTGTGGTTTCCACAGTCAAATGAGAACTGTTGAAAGAACCATTTTAAGAACAATCGATTGAAAGAGAACTTTAGTTTGAGAGCAGAACTGAACTATAATTTGAAAGTTTTCCTGTAGCACCCTTGACAAATTTTGGAGCACATTTCGCAAGCTTGACACCAACAGCAAGCAAAGTGAAACTCCAAAGCCAGTAGCTACTTTCTCTTCCTATCACCATTTCTTGAAAGAAAGAAAGAAAGAAAGAAAGAAAGAAAGAGAGAGAGAGAGAGAGAGAGAGAGAGAGCAAAACAAAGCAAAAGAAAACCAAACACTTACAATCAACAACAAATCTTTATAGGTCAAATAAAAAGTTTCATTTTTAAATTGTTTCTGTTAGGTTTTGTTTGTCTATTAATGGCTCCTTTACCACCCAAAATTTTACTTTCTGAGCAAAAACATTTGTAAAATAATTTTTAAATCTGTTATTTGGATTCAAGCAAGGAATATGGAAGAGAGAAGTGTCATTTCCATAGTGAGTATTAGTAGTTCTTTTTATGTAGTAATGTTCCATGAACGGTATTTTGTTTTTATAGTTAATGTTTATAATAAAAATACAATTTTTACACCATAGCAACAGCTCAGCTTGTCTAACTAGGCTTCCTTATAATTTCCTCAGAATCTGGCCACCAACTGCTCAACCAGAAGATATCCTCTGGTTAACCTCTAACCATTTTAATCCAATCTTACACATTTTGGAACTACTCTAGTATCTTACGGATGATCATAAGGGCAGAGCTGCACATCACCAAGCCTCACAGTTTCGGATTCTGATAATGTCTTGAAAACTTAGCTAGCTCTCGAATATACTCACGAATATGCCTGTTCCTTATCTGCAGAAATATAGACGTACAGAGATGTTATTGCCTGGCTTAGTTAGCTCCATGTACATGGTTTATCTATACTTAGCAAAATGCAGCATTCAGCTTTGTTCCTGCCTTCTACGAGATACAGTTCTAACAAGAGAAATAAAACAGAAAGTCATGTTTGGATTAGTAAGTAGTACTCTCAGTTGAGCTCAGTATCTGAAGTGTTGACAAGAACACTGTCAGACTTCTCAACTAAACACATTCTGAAGGTCTGAGGAGAAAGTATCAGTGGAGAAATAGGCTAGAAAAACAACAGGAATTCTGGTTCAAGGAGGACGTTAATCAAACAGCCCGCCTAAACTTTCCTTTGTAAAAAGTATGTATCTACTTCTTTGCTCAGTGGAGTGGGCTCAATCCGTGGCAAATCCTCTCCTCCTCCAGCCTCTGACATAGCCTTCAAGGCTCAAGGCAAACTTACTTACCTTCTGGGAACACCACTCTCATTTTGAGATAGCTGGTGGTAAGTCTGATTATGGATGCTTTGTCCAGCTGCGAGGTGATAGCCGAGGGCAAAGGCAATAATTTAGCCAGTTCATAAAATTCACTGTTTTCCTTCTCTCTCCTAGTCCGAGCAGCATTTTTGGACTTTTCTTTCATCGTGTCTGGTTCCCCTTTTCTTCTTACAACGTAAACTCCACAGATTCATCCAAAACCAAAAATTTGCTTTCAACTAGAGATCATACTAGGCGAGAACACGCACGCACACATTGAATGAAAACGCTTAAGTCTGCACAAGAGACAGTGTACGGATGATAGTAAAAAGCCAGCGCAGCGAACAGAAAATACTTTCTTTGAAGACATAAGATGCAAATGTAGGAAATTTGTTCATCCACAATTTGGGCAACCCTGGAAGTCCCCGGGCATCAAATGCTGGCAGAACGCCTCAGGTTTTCTTCTATTCCGAGTTTTTTTTTACTCCGTGCTGCAAACCCGGTTCCTTGGAAAATCGACATAATACTTCCCGACGCTTGTGCTTCAGTTTCTCTGCATTTGAGGCGGCTCCAAGTCCACTTGGGAATAGGAATCCTGAATAGTTCTTTCAGACCACTGTGGAGACAACGGCATCAGAGCATAAGAAATCTGCCGCTCCGACTTTACCCCCTCGCCCCAGTTCCGAAAGCAGCCGGAAAGGGCCTCAGCGCGCCTCGGCTTTCCTGGGCAGCATCATTGGGGTTGTTTTTGAGATAAGGAAAAATCAGCATTGGGGCCGAACCCCTGTTCACATTCCCTCACCCGTGCCAGCTACAGTCTCCAGCCCCCTGGGAAGTTGCCCAAACAACAAAGCCCATATTTTCGAAGACCCTCTGGAGACGTCGGCCTCCGGGCCCCGCACCCGCGGTCCAGGCCGAGTGCGTCCCGCAAACTCGGATTCCTCCACAGCCTGCGGGCGTCGTGCAGCCCCGGCACTTGCCAGAGCTGGAGTTTGGCTACCTCTCTGCCAGGGGTCTGAAGTCTGACCAAGTCCTCAAAAAGTGGCACTTAAACACCAAGCCCTTGAGGACCCCCGAGGCGACCCAGGGCTCCCCCGCCCCTCAGAGGCAGGGACTCCCGCTGGCGGCGCAGGTTAACAGGTGGCACTGGCGACAGCTCCCCCGCGGGCGTGGGGCGAAGACGTCCACGCCTCGGCTGGCCTCCCCAGCGAAGAGCCGCTTCGGCGTGGCTTCTGCTCCACCTACCTTCCGTCCTCGCTGGCCGCCACGGGTGAGGTGGAGCCCGCCTCATAATTGCTCTCCCGCCGGCTGGCCGCCCCAGCCACTCCCCGGGCCTCTCCGCTCTGCACCGGCAGAGAAGAGCTGAGCACGCTTACATTCGATTTTCTAGCTAACGAATGCTGGGGGGCGGGGGGAGTGGGGGGTGAGTGCGTTGCGGGAGGAGGAGGATGCGGGCTTCGGGACGGGCGAACTGGTTTTAAAATCCTCCTCCTCGGTACTTGCTACAAAGCCAGTATTATTCCTAATTGGAAGCTAAAAGCGCCCCCCACCCCCCCGTAACTTCTTTATAGCTCACGAAATTTAGCTTCAACTTCACTCCCGGGCTCCCTTTCTCCCGCCTTCCCTCAATGCCACTCACAAGATCTCCTGCTTTCCATTGGCTCAGCGCTCCAGAGCGAGGTTCTCATTGGCCAATCGGGTTGAATGACTGGGAAACGCCCTCCCTGAACCCTAGCCGGCTGCTCCAGGCTCCGGGCGCGAGCAGCGGCTTGGCCACCAATGAGCCCTGGGAGCCGTGGTACCCCGCGCTCCCGCGGCTCCCAGCTCCTGGGTCCTGGCATTGTGAGCTCCTGGAGCGTCCCCGGCTCCCGGCGGCCGGCTCTCTGGGCCTCAGCCCAGCTCCCGACTGGACGCTGCCTCAGTGCTCCGCAGGTTCGGAGCACCCAGCATCGCCTCGAGATTCCCGCGGGAGGGTGGCGGCCGGGACGCACGAGGCCAGCCTTGAGCTTTATTTTGTCCCAAGTTTCTCTGAACCCAGAGTGACATCAAATTCATCGCCAGAAGAAATAAATACAATGCTTAATCCAAAGAAGTGTGTCGTTTTGGAAATGCCTCGGGCTCTGGGTCTGACCTGTTCCCTGTGGAAAGGTCTAGGGGCGGTTTGCCCAGGGAAGCTGCACGTGGACCCCAGGGTAAACAGGTCCTACTCGGGCCAGCATGGGCTCAGAGTGACTGATATAGAGATGCCTCTAAAGATCCGCTACTTTCAACGTCAGCAGGGTGGGTTAGGTTTTGTTTCAGGAAGTCTGATGTGAATTTCCTTAGGATAGGAGACTGTCTGCAAGAGTGAACTTAAAACATTTACGTGCCCCTACTAGTTTATTAAACGAATCCTCCCAAGTAGTATTGCTGACAAATTACAGTTTGAAAAACTCATTTATATCGCCTTTCTCTCAATCTGAGAACAGATAACAGGAGGGGAAAAATCCCCGAAAACAATTATTGCCGCCCAGGAATTCCCACTGGGTTTTGGTGATGCAAGTGACAAAGTTCTGCTCCTGGAGGTGTGTTAGGCGCAACTGTCTCTCCTGTCACGAAAGTATACACGCCCTTGACTGTGCACTTGTCCCCCAAGTTTGCCGCTCATTGCTGCGGAGCAAATACTTTGAAGAAGGGCGTGTGCCACTCCCTGATATTCGGAATACCCTCAAGATTGCTTGTTCAAAAGCACAGACATCTGCCATCTTCCTTGCCATCCTATAGTAGTAAGCCTGGAGGACAATAGGAGCTTTCTGGGGTTATTTACACATCTGGGCATCACCTGGCAAGAGGAGGTGAAGGTTCTGGGTAGAAAGAAAAACACAACGAAGTAAATATAGAGATTTTGTAAGTGCTTCTGAGCGGGAACCGACTAATGGGCTTTAGTCCGGAAGGAGGAGTCGTTTCTCCAGTGGCCGGAGCCACTCCAGAGACATGGCTCTGGGCGGCTCCGCCCGACTCGAGATTCACTGTTAACAAGAGGTGGCTTGTAGGGTTGAGATGCAGTGCGGCTCGTTTATACACTAAATTTCAGGAAGAGCAGGAAAGGTCAAGTTAGCTACTACACGGGAAGCGAGGGGAGGGAGGCGCGTGGAGAGCTGGAGCAACCTTTCGTGACCCTCGTCATTCTGCCAACCTTGGGATAGGATGGGGCCGCCAGGCTAAGCGATGACACTTTGGGGTTAAACGAACCCCTTTTGTATTCGGATTGCTTCAGGGCGGATTTCATTCAGGTCTGTGGTTGCGTTAAGCCTTTCTGTACTTTAAACAGCGGGCAGGTGTGGAAGTGCGCCTAGGTGGGAAACCAGTCTGCACTGCGGGAATGGGCGGAGAGGGGGCGCGGAGTTCGCACCGGGGCGTGGCTGGCCGAACCCGGAGGGAGTGCAGTGTTTTGCTCTCAGAAGCAAAATGGACAAACGCATGTGGAAGTCTTCACACCAAAGGTCGATGTCAGGGCGGGATGAGGCAGTGGAAGGCGACTCCAGTGTCCAGAGGTCGTTTAATAATCAAAGTGCATGCTCGGCTCAAGGGTGCCGGCCCCTCGCTAAGGCCTCGGCACACGATGGTCGGAGCCGCGTTTATCGTGAGACTGAATCCGCGCAACACCTGTTTTACTAATCTTTGAACTCAGGTTAGAGCCTTCTCTCAGCTCCTTTATTCCGCAGCTTGGCCTGGGGACTCGGCTTAGCATCCTCGCAGGGAGCCTGGCTCGCACGGCCCGGCCCGCGAGCGGGGGGCGTGAGCCGTGACCCAGAACCTCGGGTGCCTCCCTCCTGCGTGTTCGGAATTTGCCTCAAGCACGGGCAATTTTAAACAACTTTTTTTTTTTCTTTTAAGGTTGGGGAAGATAATTTTACAAACCATTTTGCCAGTGTCAAAGGAAAGGAAAGAGGCGGGCGCACGCGAGCCACTAATGCCGAACCCGGATCCACGCAGCCCCTAGGCCACCCCCTGGCTCAGAAGCTCTGCGCCTCCCCCGAATAAGCATCTCCCTTCTCCCAACACTCAGAAGGGCAAACAGCCCAGAGGCAGGACGACGAGGCTCCCCTGAGAGTCCTTTCCGCCCCTGAGGTCACCCGGGACTCTGCCCTCTGCAGCCCGCGCTGGCAGCCAGGTGCCCACAACTCCAGCCCGAGGGGCGGTGAGCGGGCGGCGTCTCCTGTGAGTACGCAGCGCTCCTGAGGAAGGGGAGGCGGCTCCCAGGGCGGCCTGACCTCTCTTCCACACCGGGCAGAGTCCAGACTAGGGCAGATGAACTCTAGGGTGTGAAAGAGTACGCGGGCAGTGATCGGAATCCCAGAATGAGCTACACAAATGGGTTTTCGTGCGGTGGCCCGGAAGTGGGCACATTGCCATTGCCAGTCTCTGCTCTGGCAGAGACCTCCGGCCTGCGTTCTGGTAACTCGGCTCTGCTATCGGAGCATCTTACAAAGCTGGGGTGCTTTCTGCCGTCTCTCCTTTTTTTACAGACTGCCAAGGGGGGTGCACACATGCGCTTCTCCACGCTCTTGCATCACATGCACGAGTGTACAGACAAGAATTTTACCCAGTGGTCAAGGTCAAGGATGAAGGGTATATTTATAATCAAGCTGCAAAATCTGAAGACAGTCACTTAAGCCTCTTAGTATGTTGTATCCAGATGTTCACTTTCTACCAGTGAAAAAGGCAATTTGTCTAGGGAAATATTAAGGTCTTAGGACATATTAACATTTTTTCTTGCATATTCTAGACCCATCTTATTACCACATTTAGGCATTACAACTCCAAAATCATTGTAATGTTAAAGCAGAAACAAGACTTCCTTGTCACTTGGACCCCGTTGGATAGGAAACAAAGGATAGAAGAACCTCAAAGAACAAAATTGCTTTTCGTAATTTATGGTCGATGTTACTTTTCTGATCAGGGCACTTTTGCTAAGTGCTTTAATGCAATAATAAAATCTCTGAAGTAACATTTCTTAGGCATCCACCTCAACGGACGCTTGAGCAGGCAGTCTAGGGTCAGCTTCAGAGGTTACAAAGTCACAGAGAAAAAGAAAAAGAAAATATACCAAGTCAGAAAAAAGAGTGCTGAATACAAGGAAGGATTTTATGTAGTTTCACTAAATATTTTGGATAACGTTTTCCATCCAGGTTTTTAAACTGTAACCTAAAGTATGACCTGGAATGAGCTGCTGAGAAATGAGTGTTTCTTATATTATGCATCATTATATTGGAAGATACATATTTTTAAAATAAAACATTTCTTACGAGTAGCAAAGACAGCTCTGATTCTGTGCATTCTGAAGATGGAAGTGGGTGAGGGCATTCTGCTCCAGGCCTGGGCATGTTTCACATTCTTTTCTTTCCAGAAATCGAGCTAGGAATGAAGTATGTGCTTATCTCAGCAATGCTGGTCTCAAGAACACAAGCAAGGCAGAAATGCTGGTCACAAGAACACAAGCAAGGCAAAAGCTGGAGATGAACATTGGTCAGCAGCTTCAGATCAAAAGATGCTTTGGTTCCCAAATCCATTCAAGGTGGACACTCCAGAGGAACTGGGCCAGCCCAGTGGCCCCTCACAAAGGTGAGGAGTCTGAGGATGAGCTGGATCCAAAGGGCAAGTGCTGACGTATCTCCAGGATTTTAACCAGAACCCACCAGCTCCTGAGTCTCTAGAGGGTTTCCTCTTCTTTGAGCCCCAGCTCTTCTTCTTAGCTAGTGTCTCCACTGAATCCCAAAGTAGGCGTATCAGAAGTGCCAATCCTGGCAATCCTCAGGCAGGGTGGGTAAGGAATTCTGATGAGGTGGACCCCTTTAAGTCATAAACAAATCACTCATTTCCAGAACAGATCCTTCCTAGGGTTCACTTAGGGCAGAGGTAGAGCCCACAGCAGCTTTTAGATCTGGTCCCTTGCACCCAATCTTGTTTAGAAATCAAATCCCTGGGGAACTCCATTACCTAGGTGCTCTAGACATCCAAAAGCAGACAGGTCAGGAGTGAGGACAAGCTTCCTGCAGACCATCTCTGGTAGCCCCATGAGTGGGACATGAACCTCCCTTCTACAACATAGGTCCATCTCCAACTGCAGCATCAAAAGGAATTGCTGCCCACAGTGGTTCCTGCTGCCCCAGGACCCTAGGAAGTATTACAGTGCTCATCTGACTCTGAGACCAGGTGTCTTTGGGCTACCAAGCACATTCCTGGACCCACCAGT